TCGAATTGGTCAAGCACGATAAGTATGAGGTGAAAATTACGGTCGAGTTGGTCGAGTGTGAGAAACCGCACTCATTCAACAAAGAGGTTATGAGCGAGGCCGATGGAGTCGAGGACGAGGAGGGCCATGAAGAGGTTACGTTCGAAGTCTTAAAGGTCGAAGAGGAGGCGACGTCCCAACCGACTATCAATGCCAAGAGTAACGTATTAGTCGAGGAGGACCGTGAATGGGATGCGTGCGCGCTTAAAGAAGGAGTGCCCGAAGTTTGGATATTATATGATGAGTCCTTGAGGACAAGGACATTCTCAAAGGGGGCAGGAATGATGCGGAAGTGGATTTCGAGCCCCGACGACGAGAAGGTCCAAGAGCCGAGAAGGCTCGAGAAGGCCGAGAAAAGGGCCAAAACTACGCACGCATGGCCGAAGCGATAGGTACGAGCGCGAATGCGAGGCGCACGAGCACAAAAGAGGCGGCACAAGTTAACCCAAATGCATCCAAGAAATCAATAGAAATCTAGAACTTTGTTCTTCCAACTTTGCTTTAGTCTTTTCACCAGAATACTATTGCAATTTTATCGTTTCAATAGGCGCAGTTGTGGCTAGAGAAACACTATCGGCAATTCAAGGCGTGGGTTTGCGGCTTATCGGCAATCGAAACACACGATCCTCATCATTGGTGCTTTCATCGAGAGGTGATTAGATCGTGTGTCTTTCTCCCAACTCATTCCCTTTCTTCTTCCCCATTCTTTTTCTTTCTCTCGTTTTTCATTTTCTTTTGATTCAAAAAAAAAAATCTTTGTTTTTCTAGAGTGTCGTGAGTTTGCTACTTAAAAAAAAAAGAGATTATTTGTTTTTCTTTTTGCGTGTGTGCGTGAGTATTGTCAAAAAGAAAATATATATATCATCATCGTCTTCAAGACGAGTGCGAAGCATGCGTGAAGCCATGGGAAACCTAGGTGAAGGGTTCAACACCACCAAGATATCGTTGGAGGATTTAATTGAGAACATAAATCGAAGGTTCGACGAGGTGGCGCGCCACCTCCAACACCAAAGGGGATGGCCACCACC